AGATATTTTGTCAACAGTAATAAACTCGTTCGTGAACAGTAGAAACCAGATAAGGTGTGAAAACGGAGGTGCACAAATGAACAGTATTTTTCATATCCCCTCTTTTATAGGAGTAAGGAATTCTCAAAGAAGTGAACGTGAAAAGTGAAAATAATGTTGGGGATTTAAGACTCGTTTGGCATGGTTTTTTAAAAATTCAAAAGGAACTTTTGTGATTCAAAATCCGTTTGAATAATTTTATGAAAGTACTTTTAGTTGTTAGAAGAGTTTTTAGGAAAAGTTGGTCTAATGTGGCTTACTCTAAAAGTATTTTCAGAATAGAAATTATTTTTAAAAATTAGTTTCCAAACAAAAATTAAGGTAACTTCTTCCAAAAATACTTATACGAAAGCAAAAGTCATGTCAAATGGATCCTCAATGTATGTCGTGTTGAAGGGATATAGAAACTATAACAAGAGTCTAACAAAGTGAGACATTGTTAAACAAAGAAGAAAATGATAGAAATAGAGATGGAAAACCAACGAAAAGAAATGGGAAAGAAACTTCAAAGCAAGCATTTAGGTGGTGTTTTCTTTGACCGTTTTGGGTCGTTTTCTGTTTTTAATTTTTCAAATCAATGAAAACGCATTCTCTTTCCTAATTTTGAAAACGTGTTTTTGAAAACGATAAAAAATTTGTACACACAACACAAAACGATAAAAACATCGTTTTGGCCGTTTTCAAGCAAAAAAAGGGAAAAATTGCAAAATAAGGGAAATTTTCATTTTCAATCCAATAACACCTCCACTACCACAATTTCAATTCCTTCCCTATGGCCGGTTGTTCTCTCTTGACCACCACTGCACCACCGGAACCCAACGACCACTGCACCACCGGTCCACCACCACCAAAATCGCCGACGGAAACCACCACTGCTACAGCCAAAATTACGACCCAACCACCGAAAAATTGTCATCAGAAATATCCCCATCGAAACAGCCAAAATCGCCACCAGAAAGACCACTACCACCCAGCCAAAATGGCGACGCACCACCGCAAAATCGCCACTAGAATAGCCACCCAACCACAGCCAAAATCACGACACAACAGCAGCCAAAATCGCGATCCAACCTCTACAGCCAATACCCCAACTGCCACAGCCAAAAAATCCTGACCCAACCGCCACCATATCCACCAAGCAGCGTCGCGGCCCAACCACAACCAAAATCGCCACAGCAAAAAATTACGTTCCCACCACCGCCACAGCAACCATCGCGACGTCGCAACCCAACCACAGCTGTCAACTACAACACCCAACCACAACACCCAAACCAACAACCGCCTGTGAAGAAGTTGGGGAAGAAGATGGAGAGGGGGGAAAAAGAGAAAGAGAAATGAGAGGCATGAGAGAAAGAGGCACAGTGAAGTGAGGAATGGAAAGAGAACGTGTTTTACATTTTCTAATTTTTGAAAACCATTTTTCAAAATGCCAAATAGAACACGTTTTCAAAAATCTCAAAATGGACACTCAAAACACAAAACTCAAAATGAATTCAGTCGTTTGTTAGTCACCAAAGTGGCCACGCATTATGGAATTGTGAACACTAAATTATGTAATTTATTTGTCAATTATTCTTGATGTCTGATTCTTATAAATGTAGATGACATTATTATTATTGTTGTCAAGAGTATATTAATGTTCATAAATTATAAAATTGTTATGGATCACCCAAAGGCTGATCAATTAATTTTATT